CTGGGGTCCGCGGCGACCCTCTCGACCCCTGGGCCGCTGCCCTCGGGGGCAGGCGCCGCGTGGGAGCGGCCACAGCGTGGCCCGCGCCCTCTCCAGATCCCCGTCTCTTACTCGCTTGCTCTGACTTTGTACCTCTCTGTTTTGTGCAGGAAAAGCTGGGGGAGATACACCCGGATCGCTGCGCCCCTGGCCCGCGTGACCCGACCCCAGAAGGAGCAGCCGAGTTACCCGACATGATGGTCAGCAGGAGCTGGGTCGGTGGCTGGATGCTGCAGCTGCAGGGACTCAGCGCCTGGTAGCACTCCTGTGCTGGGAGAGAAGCAGAGATGCCACATTTTTAAAGTTTCACAAAGCATCCGGCTGCATCCAGGTCCCTGGAGCAGGAGACAAACAGAATTAATGTTTTATACCTTCGGGTATAGGTTTGAGTTTTTTCCCCCTCATGCCAAGTATTTAAAACCTCTAGAAACCCATGATTTGACAATCAATGATTGCGCGATACTTTCAATTTGAATATTCAAAGGCTTAACAAAATGGACTATCTTCTGCAGAAATCCTGCACACAGGCACCCCACAGACAGTCCAGAGAAACAGGGAGTGAGACCCCTTTGGGGCCTGGCCCTTGCTTTTACGGTATTTTGAGCATTTTTGTCCTCCTTCCAACAGACAGAGCTTGTGTCCTCAAAGATGCTCTGTATTTCAGCTTCAAGGGCAGCTCGGAAGCCATGAGTGACTTGGGCTGCCCCCAGTGACCACCTGAGCCAGGCTGACTGGCCAGACTGATGCTCACACCTCCGATCTCCGTTTTAAGGGGAAATCTCAGGTTCTGGGGAGTGAACATGGCAGTCAACGGGTGTGGCACAGCAAGAAGTCACTCCGGGCCCAGGAGCAGACCCGAGGCCCAGCAGAGGCCTTAGCTCTGTGCCTGGTCTCCTCTGTCCCTGCCTGGCTCCGTGAGGGTTCCCCTCTGCCCTCATCCTGTTCTCTTCCTGGGCCCCACACACTGGGGTTTTAGCACAGAATGTCTGTGTGCCCATTAAGACCTTTTGCTCCGCCTGGTGGAGCTGGGGATACCCTGAGCCTCGCCCTCTGGAGATTCTCTGAGGCCAGTGTTTCATCACTGCAGTGTGACGTTTCTCCCTCTAGAGCCACCCCTGCCTTTTTTTTTGTAGGAGCACATAGTAGAAAACGGTGACAGACTTGGGGTCGAGGTAGGAGGGATTTGATGTCAGGCTGCCCCCTTGTTCCAGGCCTGACCCCTCCAAATGACTTGGAACCATGCTGGGTCATCTTCCAAGCACTTGCTGTGCCTTTTCTGTGTGATTTGGAAGGTGGAGGAGACAGGAATGACCCAGAGGGAGTGAGTGCCCTGTTGAATCCTCCCACAGTCCCCAAGGGAAGGAGGCAGCACGAGAAGACAGAGAGACTGGGTGGGATTCCCTTTCCTAGGGAAGGTATTTCCAGGATGCCAGACCAGGTGATGGCTATAGGCCACTACTCTTTGCTCCCTGAGTTCTCTGAAATGCAGAAAGTGCAATTTAGCCCCAAAGGCCTACAGAAAAAAATCTGAATGCCCTCGAATGTGTAGGATGCAGGGTGGACATGCAGAGCTCGGAAAGGGCATCTCTGAGAATGACGGGGCTGATGGGTAGGAGTTGCTTGGCAGCTGAAGCCATGTCTCTGGGGACACCTGAGGTGGCACCTGGCAGTGGAGAGCAGGATGGAGTGTACTTGTTCCCAGCCCAGCTGGAATCTGTCAGCTTCTGGAGCCTCTTTCTCCAAAAGCCCCCAAGCCTGGTCCTGGGTTTTCCTGATGGAAGTCAGGTCTGAGGACCCGGTCTGAGGAAGGGAAGGTCAATGGGAATGGAGAAAGTTCCTGACCTCCTACCTGGTGTCTGCTTCCCGATTGTGGCTGGGCACTGCTCGTTCTACAGGAAGAGTAAACAAAGCAGTTTGCAATCAAGGATGCCCTCTTGTCCTTATAGGATCTTCCATTGTTTCATTTCTCTTTTGCCCTTCTCCTTTTTTTCTTACTCTTATTTTTTAGTTTGCTTTTTAAAACCTTTTTTTTTTGCCCCCCCCCACCATTTCATTTTCTTTCTCTGTTCCTGTCACTTGTTTTGTTCCTTTCTTGTCTGCATTGCTGTTTTTCTCCCTGGCTCTCTGCCTGTCTCTGTATTCCCCTGTTCTGGGGTGCTGTCTCATTCTTTCAGCCTTCATCTCCTTCCTAGCCTCTCCTTTTACGTAGGGATGGCAGAAGGCCACTGAGTTCCCTTGGCAATACCATGGAGGTTGGTGCTGGTGATTGGCTGCCCTGGGGAGGAGGCAGATAAAGCTGGCGACGGGAACTACCCCTCTGAGGTCATGGTCTGCAGGGACAGCAGAGCTCTCTTTGGCTCTTCCTCCAGCAGCCTCTGCCTGAATCATGGCAGCAGTCCTGGGGTCTTCTGTGATGGTCCCTGTTGCTGGGATGGACATCCCAGTGCTGTTACTGGCTGACAACTTCAGACAACTAGAATTCCCCAGGCCTGTGTCCTGTTTTGAAAAAGAAGTTTCCTTCTGGTTTTTATCCCGGCATTAAGGAGGCTTGTTTCCTGTTGTTTCTATAATTCCAAAGCACAAACACAGGTAAAGGACCCAACTCCATGCTCATAGAGGCAAAGGAGAATCTTTTTTTTTTTTTTGAGTTGGAGTCTCACTCTGTCGCCCAGACTGGAGTGCAACGGCTGCTCCCGGCCACTGTAGCCTTGACCTGCTGGGCTCCGGCGATCCTTCCGCCTCAGCCTTCCAAGTAGGTGGAACTACAGGCGTGTGCTACCACGCCCAGCTAATTTTTGATTTATTGTAGAGATGAGGTCTCACCAAGTTGCCCAGGTGGGTCTCGAACCCGCAGGCTCAGGCAATCCACTCACCTCAGCCTCCCAAAGGCGCAGGATTACTGGTTGAGCCACTGAGCCCGGCAAGGGAGAATCTTTCTAAATAGATGCTGTGAATCTTCCTTATAGAGCTTCCAGTATGACTAGACCTGGAACACTCATATGGGTGTCTCTCAAAGAAGACTCTCTAAAGTGGTATTGATTATTTATTGGATATCAGGTGTTTTATTGTTCAGCATTCCCATTTCATAGATGAGGAAACAGGCTTGAAGGGATAAGTGGCTTGCCAAGATTATCAAGCACATACATGGCAGAATTCGAATTTCAACTTTGTTAGGTTCGTCTCCAAAGCCCTTGCTCTTATTCATCGATGTTGTCTTCCTGATCTTTTATAACAGAAGCTTTCAAACTTTCTGGACTTTGACCCACAATAAGAAATTCATTTTATAGGTTCACGTGTCTCTGTAACAGTATCTGCATTAATAAAACAAACTTTTCTTTTTTTTTTTTTTTGAGTTGGAGTCTCACTCCATCGCCCAGATTGGAGTGCAGTGGCATGCTCCTGGCCACTGCAGCCTCGACCTGCTGGGCTCCGGTGATCCTTCCACTTCAGCCTTCCAATTAGCTGGAACTACAGGTGTGCACCACCACGCCTGGCTAATTTTTTATTTATTGTAGAGATGAGGTCTCACCAAGTTGCCCGGGCGGGTCTTGAACCTGTGGGCTCAGGCAATTCACTCACCTTGGCCTCCCAAAGCGCTGGGATTACAGACTGAGCCACCGAGCCCGGCCCTAAAACAAACTTTTCATGCAGCAATGTGCATCTCTGTATGTGAGGCACTCTGATACTTCCTATTTTTATCCCATCTTTCCCATTTCATTCTATGTATAGAAAATAGATGTTGGTAGGGAATTACTAGTTAATGACCCACTAATGAGTTGTGAGTGGCATTGGAAAAATGCCACCAGTAGCATGATGCACATACGTTTCAATGTTGTACATGTGGAAGTATCTTGGTGTGGGCTGTTTTGCCATCAGCATGTGCGAGGAGGCTCAGACTGCAGCATGCTGACTTGAGGGTATTTGGGAAACACTGAGAACACTAGAAACCTGAGAAAGAGACTGACTAGAGTTGAGGATAAGCTGTTTATTTGGTTGATGATGCTTTGCATTCTCAGACCGAGCACTCGTCCCTCCTGCCAGGGGCATTGCCACCTCTGGACTGTCTGCCCTGATGTCCCGATCATCTCTTTGGATTTTAATAAAAGACTGCAAAAATGTTGTGGGATTTCAACAGGTTTTAACAGCCTCATTTGCTTGAAACTGTACATAGGATCCTGATATTTGGGTGTTGGAAGGGAATCTTTGAACGACTGAGAGGGATTTAGGGTCTTTTCCCAACACCTCTGCAGGTGTCTGCCTTGCTTGGCTGAGATTCTGGCCTATAGTAGAATCTGTGTAGAGGAAATGGGAGATTACTATTTGTAAGACAATGTGTTCCATTGTTGGACTACTTTAAATATAATGGTTGGTGATTGAACCATAATCCAATTAGAGCTTTTTTTTTTTTTTTAAGACAGGGTCTCTGTTGCCTAGGCTGGAGTGCAGTGGCATGATCATAGCTCACCACAACCTCAACTTCCTGGGCTTAGGCACTTCTTCCATCTCAGTCTCCCAAGTAGCTGGGACTACAGGCACATGACACCACACCTGAATAATTTTTTTATTTTTGTAGAGACAAAGGCTCGCTATGTTGCCCAGGTGTGGGCCTGGGTTTTAAGAGTCTCAAACTCCTGGCCTTGAGTGATCCCCCAACCTCGGCCTCCCAAAGTGCTGGGAATTATAGGCATTAACCACCACACCTGGCTAACCAATTAGGTACTAATTGAGCATCAACTATGTAGTAGGCATGGCACTGAGCACCAGGAACACAAAGATAAATATGCCCTGGTTTCTACCAACAACTGCTCTGTTCTTCCAGTTCCATACTGCTGCTTTTTAATTATGGATTTGTTTAGTTCATTCATTGGTTCATTCATTCATCCAACGTTTAGATGCTGAGTATCTGCGCTGACCAAATCAGGTTCTAATCCTGAAGAAATGACCATGGCCACCCCACCCCCACCCCAGCTCTCTGGTTAGCCTTACCACTGAGCTCAGAAACCCTTCAGTTTGTCATTGTTCTTAAATTCACTCAGTACCCAAAATGATGATAATAGGTTTCTATTTAAAGCTTTGAACTGAATCGTTTAACTGAAAAGTTTTACATGCAAAAGACACTGCAGAGCATTGTATTTCTTCCCATAAGTAGGAGATTTTATTAAATGTAGACACATGCATATTACAAGACTTTCAGTATAAGGAAAAAGGGTCATTTATTCCCTCCAAATTTGACTACAGTTCTAAATTCTTTTTATGAATGCAAAGTTCTTTTGTCACCTTAACTTTGGGACATTGTTACCAAACCTTGTAGGAAATATCGAGTTCCAAAAACTTGAATACATGGAGGAAACAATTGCTTTTTGGATCATAGAGTGAACAATTGGTCCATATGAAAATGACTGGGAAGACTATTAGACGAAGGTTATTTAATGATTTGTGCTAAGTCGGTCTTTCCTCATAAGACATATTCAAAGTTTTAAGACACCCTTAAGAGGTTTCCATGGGGGAGCAAGCATTTAATAATTCATCATTTAAATAAGAGAAATGCCATCATACACTGCTTGCAAAGTGCATCTTTTGTTATTTAAAATATGTTGTATTATGCTATATAACATACAAAAACATATAAAGAATACTGGGATGAAAACCTATGAAAATACCACCAAGGTTAAAGTTGAGTGATGTTTCATTTATGACTAACGTATCAAGCATTAAAACTTTTGAATTATTCCATTCAAATTACTTGGTGAGGGAAAGTTTAGCAGGGGCATCTATCAGTTTTCCTAATGCAAAAGAGTTAGTTCCCAGATATTATTTATTTGATCCACATTTTTTTTCCCTCTTGGAACTTGTAACATTTTTTTACTGCTCTCCTTTATTTTCTTGTAATGCACTAACAATGACATTGCATACTGCAAACCCACACATCTTACTTATCAGAGGTTACAATTAGAGGATATTTCTGTATCAAAGATCAAATATAACATGATGTCATCATTTGGCAATAACTATAGAAGATTTTATTATTGATTTTGCTTGATCATTGATGATTCTAGCTCCTGATTTATTTATCATACTTGTTTTAAATTACACCAGAGATAATATCAAACATTGAATAACTTTTATTTATAAGACTTCTTGGCAATATATTGTACTACATGTAGATATTAAATGAGTATATCAATATTTTTTCTGTGCTGCTTCAAAGTTTTTTTTACTTCTTAAAGACATTTAAAAATACTAAATCATTTGTCCTAAATATATTACCACTAAAGTCCAATATCCACCTACTGTCTGAATTAGCAGAGAGGATGACTAATGTTAAGTACTAAACATGGTGAGAATTTTCTTATACACTGGTTTCAGAGAGTTGTCACCAGTAGAATCAGGGACTCAATAGTTATTCTTTATTGTATAATTTTAGTTCAATCTAACAATGATTTGCTGAGCACCTATGATATGCTGGTCTTTGAGCCAGGTTCAGGGGCACAGAGGTGAGCCATTCAAGTCTCCCCTTTGAGTTGCCTTACTTTTTATCTCAAGTGTATGATTTTACATTTAATCTCTCCAGAGTCAATGGTGTGTAAGATGAACAGAGTAACATTCTTTTTCTAATAGAGAGGATATTGTAGCAGAACCCAATGATAGGAACTAAAGAGAATAATTTTGGTGTGTGGTTGGTAGAATCACTATAATGTAATGTGACTTTAACCTTAGACATCAATTGTTATTTTGGTACTTTAAGTATAACTGATGTTTTATTTCTTGTTTTAAATTATTACTTAGATTTACATATTGAAAGATGGATCACAGAGATGCAGTACTTTAATATATGTGTGTGCATAGATATGCATATATGTATGTCAACGTATATTTTGCTACTGGGGTTAATAATTCTTTTATCTTTACTTCAGTCTTGTTTAACTACCACAATAGGACCATGGTATCATATTATTATTTGAGCTGTAGCAAATTGCAATGATCATTGGAAAGCATTTATTAAATAAGTGAGATAACGATGTGGTTTTCTTCTCTCATTCTTTGGGATTTGTATAACATTGTAAGAGAAACACAAACATTTTCAACCACACACTATGTCTGTTTGCAGTGATTCATGGGACAATTATTTATACTGCAGCTGTGGCATGGGCAGATTTTGCTTTCGGCTTCTTTTTGACATTATCATCTAGTCAGCTTCCTTCAGTGGCTTGAACTTGATTGACATCATCCTCTCTGCTTACTTTAAATCTTGACTAAACCCTGCGCAGGATGTGAAACAGCTGGAGTTCAGAACCTGAACTCTTTAATTTTTGAGAGCTTTCTCAGGAAAGCTGTGAGTCAGCACAAAGCAAGTTTAAGGAAGTCTCGGGAGAGAAGAATCACATTTTTTTTTTCATATTTTGGTATTGTGCATTTTTATGAAAAGGTGCAGTTACTCCCCACATGCAGTAGAAAATACAGAGAACCACTCATAAGTAGACCTTGAACAATTATCATAAGACTCTAAGAAAAGAATTGTCAGTAGTGGAAAATTGCTGGGGGTAGGGTGGGGCGGGATTGGCAGTAGTGAGATTCTGCTGGGGGAGAAGGAGAAACACCTCATCAACAAGGATACCTGCATAACGAATATTTGTATACTTAACCCTTAAAAAAAAAAGAAAAAAGAAAAAGAAAAAGAAAAAAATATGGAGAACTTGAAGGAAAAATAGAATGGAAGATAGAAGTTCCCTGTCAGAATTTTGCAGTCTGACTTTGCCTTTTAACAAAGTATTCCCAGAGCAATAAAACAAATTAAAATCTATGTAATATAGAAACACATTGTTACACTAAATAGAATTCTTAAAAATCATTTACCATTTGCAATGATTAGCATCACTCCTCCTTGCCCCCAAGCCCTTATATACTAGGTAACTGAAATGGATACTAGTTAAAGCATGGGTCTGTTTATGTCATCTTATGAATTAATGTGGTCAGCACTCTGAAAGGGACTGGTAGCTTTAAGAAGAACATACACATCTTTGCATTCACCTCTGTTCCAAGGTCTGGTTGCTAAGCTCTCTCTATCTGAGAGCCAATCAATGCATCTTCAGGTTGTTAGGACAAGAATGAACCTGATACACGAGTAGGTAACAGCCAGATAAGAGATATGAGCATGCCTACTAGTCAGAGTTATGATAAGATGAAAGTTAAGAGTTCTGTGACACATATTTATGTTTTATACACCCTTATTGTGCTGGTGATACTTAGTAATAAATGGTAAAAAGTAGATGACTGAGATCATTATGAATGCACACCGCCATTTTTGAAATGTGACTCTGAGACCCTTGTGAAGGCTTGTATATCTGCAGAGAGGGCCAGATCTCTTCTTTCTGATGCAGGGCCTGCTGTCCAGGTATGAGTAACTGCTGAATGACAGCCGGCTGTGCCAAAGATACTGGGAATCAGGATTGGGGTCCCAAGTCACACTGGATTTAAGAAAGAGCAGCTTCTCTCCCCCACAGTGAATACCACCACCCTACAGTACGGTCATCACCTTTTCACTACTCTGCAAACAGTCACAGAGAAAAGCTCAGGCTGCCAGAAGGAGCTGGTGGGAGGGAGAAATAGGATAGGGGACCCAGCAGTTGAGGGTTACACATGCTCTTGCTGGTAGGACTTATGCTGGGAGCCTGCTTGGCAAAGGAACCCACACCCATCAAACGTACACGCTTCTGGTGTTCTCTACCAGGAGGGACCCAAGGGAAAGGAAGGTTCACTACCCAAACCTGTCCGCTGGCATTCTGGAAATGAGGAGTGTGTTAGATGAGCCAGAAAATACCCTCAGAGACCTGGAGAAGGAGCATCACTTATTCACTTCTACGAGTGAATTTATTTCCTTATCTGAATTCTGGACTTCTGCCTAGCTGGGGTAGAGTATGGAACACTGTTACAGAGGGCATGATGAACACTACAGAGGAGCATTGGGAAGCCAGGAAGAAAAGGAGAGACTGGGCTCCCAGAAGGTGGAGGGAAAAGGCATAGGGTCAGGAGGGACCAAAGGGATTGGAAAGATGTGAGAAGGGAGTAAAGAAAGGAAGGTGTTAGGAAGATGGGAGAAGGGCATATATACCGCATGCTTCTATGCATGTATCTGCAAAGTGAAATGTGTGCCAGGCATTTGGGATGGGCTGGGGTTGCAAACAGGCGCAATGCTTGGTAGGTCCTTATGCTGGGAGCCTGCTTGGCAAAGGAACCCACACCCATCAAACGTACACACTTCTGGTGTCAGTATCTCCATTTCTACATGGCAAGAGCTGTGGATTTCTGAACAATATGATGGCAAACAAGGCCTTATTTCAAGTAGTAGATGCTGTGTGTATCATTCTGCGGGCTCACACCTGGCCACATGTCCAAAGCCCTCTTGCTTTTTTGTGCCGTGTGATCTGCTGTGTCTTGCTGGCAGTTTAGCCTTACGTTTTGTATTTCCTTTAAAATCTATGAATACTTATTTGATCACAGAATGCCCATTTTACTCATCCACTCTGACAACTGTAGGCTTATTCCATTAGGGAGACGATGTCTTGATAATTAGGGTTATCAATGATCAAAGAAAAAGTTTGACTTTTTTTGTGGATTGGACTAACTTGGGGACATCCTGGCTTCAGGGCAGAGACAAAACTGTTATTTACAAAGCTGTAGTCTCCTGACCTCATCCTATTTTATAGACAACAAAGAATTAATAGATGGTGCTGTACTTTTTTTACAAATCATGGTAATAAAGAAAGTTCACATAGCATGGAACTCTTTAGAGTCACATGGCATAAAATGAGCTTTGTTTTACGTGCCCACACCTTGTTTATATCTCATCCATTCTCTTTTGCTGAAAAACACACATAGTTCATAACTAAGAAAAACTGGACAGAAAAAATCAGTAGGTTTTACAAACTGCATAAACTTTTTAATGTAATTTAAGGAAAAAAATCATGCCAAAAACGATACTTCAAAGATAACAGAAGATTCAGAATGTAATGGGTCACAAAAATTCCAAAAAGACCACACTGTAAAGTTGTCTCGCTAGAATGCAGTCCGTGGTATATTGAATTAACATTGTGTTTTATTTCAGTGGGGTTATGGTAGGGAGGATTATGAATAAACGCCACCATCCATTACCAAAGAGTGGTTTGAGGGTTTATCCTGAAAATCCAGTTCTGAACAAGCCACACACCTCAAACAATCTGTGGAAGACGGAACTCAACTTAGTTAGAGAAAAGCACAGACGTCCTGTGGGTCCACCCCTCAGAAGGCTCTGCGGCACTCATATGAGCCCCAGGCAATGCTCCCATCTTCTTTGGTCCAAGGTGAAGGGTCATGAAGGGAAGCGGTGTCTGTCTCCTCATCAGGGGAGAGCGGCACCACCTTGGGCGGTAGGTCGTTGGACACGGTCATGAAAGGGGTGAAGGGGTAAGGAGGCGGGGCGGGGTACCCCGGAGCATGGTGCAGGTCCTCCAGGGCATGCAGCGAGTAGGACTGAGCTCCAGCGAGGGAGGACCCCCAGCTCGCGCCCCTGTGCTGGACGGTGCTCCCGGACTCGAGCTGGGAAAGGCAACTCGTGCTGGGTGGCAAAGTCTGCAGGGCTTCGGCGGGCACAGGGTCTGGCTGGCTGAGACCATCAGGCATCGTCTGCTCCCATGAGTCCCTCTGAGGAGAATGGAAAGGTCACTGGGGTTTTGCATTGGATAGCACTCTGATAGCTGGGTGGGTGCTACCAGGCTGTGGCTCCCGGAGCAGCCCTGGGCCATCTCTGCTGTCAGAAGTCTCATTATCAGGCAGCCCTTCCCTCTGGCATTGGACACCAGCAGTGAAAGTTTTAGTTCCTTCCCACTGTAGAATCAGATGTGCTATATCCTCGTATATTGAGATTCCTTTTCCCAGGAAGCAGCATTCAATGAGTGAAACGCAAGAATAATAAATGCACATCTGTGCAACATTTTACTGTTTACGGTGCACTATATCTTGCATTCTTTTTGAGCTTTACATTACTTGGGGTGCTAGAATACCCTCTACACCAGGGGGAAGGTTGGCGCCTGGTCTGCTCCTGGAAGAAGTAGGCCTCCGCCTTGTTGGTGAGCTTTTAAATGGGCTAGGAAGCCCACCCTGCCCCTCAGTGAGCAAAGAGAAAGGAGTCTCATAGGCTTGGGGCTGGAGAAATTTGGGTTCATTCATGGTTGTGACACTGACTACCTTCCTGATTCTGAGTCCCTCACTTTGTTCATGTATAAAACGGGGCTTTCATAAACAAAGACCGAGTTGTTGCAAGTATTAAATGAACAAGGGCACATCGAAGTCCCCGGCATAGAAGAGGTACTTAACGATAATTCTCATCCCCTCCCTTCTGATTAAAATCCCATCTTTAGAGACTGATTCCTTTGTGGTGGAGGGCATAAGAGTTTTCTTTAATGTGCGTAGTCTTCACGTCTTCACGAACTCACCTCTGTGGAAGGACTGAGGGAGAACCAGGTTCCACGGGGGTTGAAATCGTGTGGGGGAAGAGAAGTCAGGGAACTTGGAAAGAAGTTTATGAACTGCATCAACTTTTTAATGTAATTCAAGCTTTAATTTAAACCTGCCCTGGGAGATAATGGCGTCACTAAGCCAGAGATGGAAAACAGGGCGCTTTCTTTATGATCTGGAGGGATGCTGCTGACTTTCACCGGTGGGATGGGTGAACTTCTGGCAAAATCGGTAGGGTGTTCATGAGGTGGATCTAAACCCTGCCTCACAGTCCCACCCCACCCCCGTTCCAAGCCCTGGACAGGCGCTCTGGTTTCCAGGGGCCTTTGAGCAAGGCTCCCTGGAAGGGTCTCCTGGCAGGGCCGGCCTGTCCCGGCACCTCCAGGCAGGGGTCTCCCGGGGGGAGCCAGAGCCGGCTCCCACCTGCTTCCAAGCGCAGGGAACGGGCCAGATCTCCAGCCCGGACCCTCCCCGCTCCCGGGCGGCATACTCACGAAGACCAAAGGCGCGGGGTCGCCGGGGAAGGGCGGCGGCAGGAGCGGCGGCAGCGGGGCGGCGCCGAACAGGGACCCCGCGCTGGGGGCGAGCGCCTGGGCGCGGTGGTCCCCGTAGGGCTCCGCGAGGTAGGGCTCCAGGAGGGCCGCGGGGCTCGGGCCCGCGGGGGGCTCGCCGGGAAAGGGCTTCGCCACGCTGGAGGCGTAGACGTCGCTGGAGAACTGTTTGCTGCTGTGGAAGTCTGAGTCGGATAAGAAGGATCTTCTGACGCCGTAGTAACCCGACATGGCAGGTGAACCTGTGGCCAAAGGAGAACGCATGGGCCGAGCTTTCCTCCCGGGAGGGGCAGGGCACCTACCGGAGCCGAATCTCTGCCCGGGAAACCGAGTTACGAACGCAGGCCCGACCCCAACGCCCAAACGTCTTGAAAAGCGGGGCATGTTCCTGCATTCGCTCTTTTAACTGTTCCGGCAAAAATAACGACTGTGCTTAAAGCTCACCCTGCCAAGAATGGCCCTCCTTAATAAAACAGCAACAGATGCTGGCGAGGATGCCGACAAAAGGGAACGCGTCTACACAGCTGGTGGGAGTGCAAACTAGTTCAACCTCTACGGAAAACAGTGTGGCGATTTCTGAAAGAACGAGAAATTGACCTTCCATATGACCCAGCAATCCCCCTTCTGGGAATATACCCAGAGAAACTCAAATCATTCTACAAAAAAAAGATAACCTGCGCACGCATGTTTATTGCAGCACTATTCACAATAGCAAAAACATGGAACCAATCGTGGTGCCCGTCGAGACTGGACTGGATTTAAAAAAATGTGGTACATATACACGATGGAATATTACACAGCCATAAAGAAGGACAAACGTAAGGACTTCACAGCAACTTGGATGGATTTAGAGTCTATAATACTCAGTGATTTATCACAGAAACAAATTACCACATGTTCTCACTCATAGTGGACCCTGAACATTTACCATAACACCATAAGAAAGGGATTGGCAGTAGCAGGGTACCGCTGGGGTGGAGGTGAGGACACAACACCAACAAGGGCACCTGATCTCAAACCAGGCAAAGTGAGACCAAAAGGAGGCCCAAACTATTTCTGTACGATGTCCATTTGTATTCCCAATCCTGAATTGTGTCCCACATCTTTAAAATAAAAAATATTTTTAAAAAGTAAAAAGTAAGATAAAATAAAATTCACTCTGCCTCTAGGGGCGAGTTGGCTTTAGACTACAGTAACCGTTCAGTCATTCACTCTCATGGATTGTGTATCATCTTCCAGGTGCCCGACGCTGTGCTGGGAAGGGGTTGGGCTTAAAGAGACCAAGAATCTCTTGGCATTCGCATTTTTAACGAGGGAAGCATCTTTTCACAACTTCTGAGTGAAGGCCCCACACAGGGCCCTGAACAAAAGTCTGCTTCTGGGCTTCGCTGAGATGCAATATCTCCAGATAAGGTGACACATATGGCCCTGCCTCAGATCGGAGGCAGTTGGCACTCTGTTTTGTAAGTCTTTGCATGCTGACCTTCAGCACTGCGCCTCACTTCTAGCAGGCATGGAGACATGGCCTGATGAGATTGCTGCGCTGAAGCCAATTTTTGAGGCCCACAGTGTTGCCTGGCGTTGGTAAGTTTCGTGTTATTTGCTGCCCTCTGGTGGCCATCCCCAACCCTTGTCTCAGTTCACCACAAGAAAGTGCCTGGCACAGAATGTTTCCCTTAAGAGAAAGGGGAAATCCTGAAACTGACAAGAATCTCATTCAGGGTAAGGCCAGCGAAAAGGTTCCAGATCTCGTAGCTCAGTGGTAGCAGGAAAGACACGATATTTTAGAACATGTTCAGGGGCATAGACTCCAGGTCTGTCTAAATGATGGTTTAATTATTCCAGCTGCTGTGGGTTGTGGTCTAACTAGTTGAGAAGGGGTTGGACACCCTGAAGTCACTAAAGGGCTGAGCCTGGGAGAATATGCAAGCTTTTGTTCTCCTTTCCTTCCCCCAACTGCAGCGGACGCTTCCAAGCTTCTGACTCTGTGTGCTCAGAACTGGCTCACCCCACAGTGTGGCACTTATTACTATGCTCATTATTCTTGTCACCTGAGTCACAACTATCTTTCCAGGCAAGCTGCAAGCTCCCTGATGGCAGAGCTCATGCCTTGTACATTTTCCATAAACTCAGTTGTATAATATTTTGTTCAGCAGCGACATGTGCATTTGATCATTCAGAGGAAGAAATCAAAATTCTCTACCAAAACTTACAACATGTTTTCACTCACTCCACTCTTATCTTAAATTCTGTAACCCAAAGCTTCTAATCTGCTCATGTACTTGAAGGCTACGATTAGGGTTTTCATTATAAGCATATGTCCTTGGAGGGGAAAAAAATCTGTGCCACTGAATATTACTATCAATAAATAAGGCCCTGTTTTTGTGAATTTATATCCATGGGAAAGGCTAAGGCTGAGATGATGTAAACAAGATTTTCAGAATCTCATGTCTATATTTCCAGTTTCCAGACAAAACAATCAGGAAGAGAAAAACCTCTCTTAAGCATTTCTTTTTCTCCTTAAAAAGAGGAAGAACAATTTTATATGGAAAGAGAGGTTGCGGACTTTATTTTCTTTGTAGTGGAGAGCAGATTTCAGTGAAAGTAAATATGATTGGGAAATGCAACATGCAGGCATTTATATACTTGGGATCTTCTATTCTTCTTATTTGCTTCCCTCATCCAGCTCTGAAGGGAATAAAACTACTGAGAAGGACTGTGCCACTTCTGAGTGTGAGATCCAGGAGAGATTGTCATCCTTTGTGTGTGTTTGTGTGTATGAGTGTCCAATGCTACTATCAGAAGGCCCTGTTTTCATCCCCACAGGAGTATTTAATGAGACATATGTATTGAAATGAATTCAAGTGCTGAACTAAGAGCCTGGCAGATACAGAGCACCCAATAAATGGCCGTTGCGCTGTCTGCTCTTATGTTGCTTTCTCTTTCTGTTCTGAAGCAGGTTTTTCATCGATCAGAACATCGTGTCAGAACTTTGAACTTGTTAAAACTGTATCAAGGGCCTCATTGCTGTTGCCTTTGCCCAAAAAGCCTCAGCAGAGCAGGGGATCAAAAGGCTGCCTTCAAGACAGAATAAATTGGAACTTGAGAAACGACTGAATGAGGTCTGTCTTCACTGTTTGTGTGTTTTCAAAATAACTATTTAAAGGAGCAAAGTTCTGAAAGAGCTGTAAGGCAGTTATAAAAGAGTGGAAGCCCAGTGCTTAATTTAAACTCAAAAGGGATTTAATTGCTCCTTGAGCTGAAGTACTCACCTGGCATCTGCACAAATGGAGACTGGGAGGAACAGACACTGCCCTGGAAGGTAAACAGAATGCAAGTGTTTTTTTTCTTTAGCTGCAAGTTTGAATTTAGTTAAAAAAAAAAATAGGAACACATTTTACAAGCTTTCTTTTCTGATACTCAGAAATATTAGCTGGAGAGTTGGGCTGTGGAGGGGGAGTCAACTAAGAGCAAGAATTCAACTACCGAAGGACGTAGTTTTACAAGGCACAGAGAAAAAACAAACTTTTAGATTCCGGCAACCATGCCAAAAAGCACCACTGGCTAGATGAAAAGGAATGATTTATCCTTTGATTTTTTTTTTTTTTACGTTTCAGTTAATATTCCTTCATCAAATATATTAAGTGACTATACATATGCAAATATAGTAGTCCCCTCTTGTTTGTGGGGCATACATTCCAAGCCCCCCAGCAGATACCAGAAATCGTGGATAGGACTAAAACCGATTTTTTTTTTTTTTTGCTTCCTTATTGAGAACTTTCACCTTTCCATTTAAAGGAAACACTTCCTGGCTTCTCTTTGGCACAGCCAAATTGCCAGCATCACTTCTCTTGTACTTTGGGGCCATTAGGAAGTAAAATAAGGGTGATGTGAACATAAGTCCCGTGATACCATGACAATAGATCTGATCACCAAAGCGGTTACTGAGTGACCGATGGGTGGGTGGTACAGACAGCATACAGACAAAGGAAGGATCCACATCCTGGGCCGCATGGAGTGGGATGGAGTGAGATTTCATCATGATATTCAGAAACACGTGGCATTTAAACACAAACTGTTGATTTCTGGGATTTCCTATTTAATACATTTAGACCATAGTTAACCATGAGTAACTGAAGCCTCAGAAGGTGAAACCATGTGTAAAGGGGACCGCTGCATATGTGTATGAGTATACATGTATACTCTTGGCATTTGACTGCCGTGTCACGTGACCACTTTCCACTATCTGCCTCCACGTAAAATGGAAGCTCCATCAACTGTAGGATTCTGGACTGTGACTTGTCCTCAGTGTCCAAAACAGCATGTAGCTCATAATAGACCCAATAAAAATAGGTGCAATGAAGATACATTCTCTGAAGAACCCACAATCTAGAGAGCATGGGAGATGGGGGATATGGCAGGTTGAATTATGTCCCCCCAAAAGGTATACTGAAGTCTTAATCTCTGATGCCTTAATCCCTGGTATTTCTGAATGTAACCTTATTTGGAAATAGCATTTTTGAGGATGTGGCTACCTAAATGGAGATGAGGTCATACTGAATTGGAAATGACTGAATATGACTGATGTCCTTATAAGAAGAGGCGTGGGTCACAAAAGACACAGGCATAGAGGGTGAAGTTCGTGTAAAGACAAGGGCAGAAATCTGAGTGACACAACTTCAAGCCGAGGGACACCAACGATTGCCAGCAACCGCCAGAAGCGGGGAAGAGGTAAGGAAGAATTTTTCCTCCGAGGCTTCAAAGGGAGCATGACTCTGCTGACACCTTGACTTTAGATTTTTAGCCTTTAGAACTATGAGACAAAACAACTTTTGTTGCTTTAAGCGGTCTCTTTTGTGGTAACTTGTGACTGCAGTCCTAGGAAACGACGACAGGGGTGACTGATTACAAAACAAAATATTCACTATCATATGAGAAATGGTGTGGATAAGGGTGATGTGGACACCTAAGTTGGTATCATGGGTGGGGTGGGGAACGTACCCTGGAGGACCCCTAAAGAAAGGGTATCCAGGTGTGTAGAGCCTTAAAATATACAAATGCAAATTCTGACTCCAAGATGCCCTGGAGCTTAAGGAATTGTTTATTTCTGAAATCTTCCATTTACTATGTCCTGTTAAGAATGTAGCTGTTATGGAAGTTAAGCATCCTCAATATTCATTTTGTTGAATCTAAGTTCCTACCCCTGACCCACATAGAGATGAAAGAGATTTTCTAGAGTCTCATTCAACCATGCATCCAATGTGAAATTCTCTCCATGTTATTAACATCAGGTACGTCTAATTGTCTGTGACAGAGAACTTAGCACCCTCTGAGAAAGGCCATTTCTTCCTTGGGGACCTCTGACTATTTCAAAGTAGGCAAAAAAAAGAATTAGTTCCCTACTTGCAATCTCTTTGGTGCTTATAGAATAAGTTTAACCCCTCGTCTATAACCCTTCTTCAACGATTTGAAGATAAGCCATCATCTCCAAACTAGCTTGGGCTGCTATAACAAATACCATAGACTGAGTGGCTTAAACAACAAAAATCATTTCTCACAGTTCAGGAGACTACAAGTCTGAGATCATGGTTTACTTTTTGGTGAAGGACTTCTTTCTGGTTTGCAGAAGGCTAGTTTCTTTCTGTGTCTTCACATAGCAGAGAGAGAGAGAGAGGTCATCCCTCTGGTGTCTCTTCTTATAATTCCATCGTGAGGGATAAGATTACCGCATGACCTAATAACCTCCTGAAGGCTCCACTGCCAAGTACCATCACATCAGGGATTAGGAATTCAACATTTGAAGTTTTAGGAGAACACAAACATTAATTCCATAGCACCAAACTTGAATTCTATCTTCTCCAGGCAAAATATCCTTCAACCACTTAGAAGGAGTATAGTATTTAAGAGTGAAGGCTCTGGAACCAGAATGTCTATGATTGAATCCCAGCTCTGTCTCTTATTAGCTGTGGGATCTTGGGCACATGATTAAATGAGATCATATTTGTTGAACACTTAGAATAGTGCCTGCCAGAGTAAGCAGTATATATACCTCAGCTATTATTACTATTATGCATGTTAGACCCTTTAAATCTGTTGTATATTCCTCTAAACATGTTCTGATTTGTGCGTTTTCTTGTTTAATACATTAACACTTTTAGGTGGCAGAAGGGAACCTTTGAGCATGCAATGGTCAGAAGATTATCCTTTAACATTTGTATGGGAAGGAAAGGAACAGTGATTAAGCCATAGATGCACTTGTGTTTGGGCACGTTTCCCCATATTCTTATATTTCTGTCTTCCTTATGATTTTGCCTTCTACCTATTATGTAAATCATGTACTCTATTTCCATCCTTTATGGTTACCCTTAAGATTTTACCATGCATATATAATAAAGCTTACAACAATATTTTAAACCCCCAGCTGAGAGACAAGAATCTTAGAACGTTAACTCTTACAACCCCTCTCCTAATTTACTTGTACATGCTTTTTTCTTTTCTTTTAGCTTGTTTCTTTTGTTTTCCTCTCTGTGCCTGCTTCTTTAATTTTTTTTTTCTTTATTTTAAAGATGTGGAGTACAATTCAGGGTTAGGTATAAAAATGTCCATTATTCAGGTACCCTTGTTGATGAGGTGTACCCCTCCCTCCCTTGGCAGTTTCCCTCAACTGCCAATCCCACCCCTCTTCCCCTGACAGTTTCCCACTACTGCCGATCCCTTTCTTATAGTCTTATGATAATTGTTCAAGGTCTGCTTATAAGTGAGAACATATGGTACTCTGTTCTTTGTTTCTGTGATAGATCACTTGAGTATGTTAGACTCTAAATCCATTCAAGTTGCTGCGAAGTCCATATGTTTGTCCTTCTTTATGGTTGCATAATATTCCATTGTGTATATGTACTACATTTTTTTAGACATCATCTTTATTTTCATTTTATTCTAATACAGATTTACTTAGCTGTCCACTATTTTCTTTGCTTACTCTTTTTCAAGACTTTTTTTTTCTAGACTTATTTCCGTCTCGTAAGGTAATTTTTAAGAAAATTCCTTAAGTGTAAGTGTAGGCATGTTGGTAGTAAACTGCTTTGGTTTTTGTTTATTGGAAAATGTTTTTTTGCACTGTCTTTTGTCTTCCATGATTGGTGCTGAGAAGTCTGCTATGAAACTTACAGTTTCTCTTTGTGGTTATCTTTTTTTATGATTGTAATATATTTTAATATACTCTCTTTTTCTTTCAGGTTCTTCAAGTTCATTTTATATAGAGGCAGATTTTTAAAAATATATATCCTGCTTGATATAGGACATGCTTCATGTATCTGGGGATCCATGTCTTTCATAAACTCTGAAAAATTTCAACAATCATCTCTTCAAATATTGTCTTGTTTTTATTATTCTTATTCTCTCTTCCTGGGAATCTGGATATATGTTAGAACTTTTTCTTTTGTCCTTAATATCCTTTAACCTCTAATTTTCTCTCTGTTCTGTATTTTTGGTGTAGATTTGCATAGGTTTCTTTAGATTGGTATCTGATTCACTAATTCTTTCTTCAACTGTTGTTAATTTGTGGTTTAACTCACATATTGAGTTTTTATATCTGTTATTTTATATTTTTATTTTTATAAATTTCATTTGATTTTTAAAATCTGCTTGATAATTTTTTATGGTCCCATGTTGAGTGTATTTTGCATTAGGTAATTCTAATATCTGAAAGTCCTGAAAATTTAAATTTATTGTTTGTGCTGACTCATTCACAAAGTTTTTTTTTTTTTCTTCCTTATGAATTGGTGACTTCTCTGAAACTCATATCTTGTTGACCTTAATCTGTGAAAATTTGGGTCCCTCAACTGTGGCTGCTTTCCTCCAGAAGATTTATGTTTACATCTCTTGGGAACCAGTTGTCTTTTAGGTTTCCCAGATTAATCCTGAAGTCCCAGATTCAGCCATTCAACCTTGGCAATAGGCCAAGGACCAGCCTTCTCATGTAAAGTCAACTTGTACACCTATCCTCAGGGGACTTGTCTTTTGGGCATGATCATCTTTTCATCATTCAATGCCTTAACTTTTGCTTGAGCCTCTCCTTCATCTCCCAGGCAGCCCCTGCCCCTAATCCCAGCTTTGGATATTTCCCTTACTTACTGCTACCTCAACAACTTATTACAATTTGTTTTATGCAGGGTCCATTTTTGTTGTAGGAGAGCTCACCTCACCCCCAGACCATCTAGTCTGCCTAAGACAGAATTGAATTCCTAAGTATGGAACCTAGATGATGATACTTTCCTGGTGTTTACACAGCCAAAAGCTTTTATTTTTCCATGATT